AATTGTTTTGTTACTTCAAAATCGCTGGATTTTCGTATTTTCCCATTCAAATGCTCAGAAGCGAAGCAGGGTTTTCCAAGGGAGTTATTTAATGTAACACGCAGCTAGCGTGCAACACTAAATTTATCCGGCTATAAACAGTTCCTGCAGCTGCTACAGCTCCCCATACATGCGCTCCTACCGGAGAGGCAACTGCCAGAGTCTGTGTCCACGTGGATCCATCTATTTTGGAGACGTTCCTTGAACCGTGAAGGTCCGGAGCAGGTAAGAAAGCGTGCTGAGGCTGTTGGCAGGGTTTATAAAAGCTACCGATTAGTCCTGCAGAAGTTAGAGCGCCATGCTGTCATTTGGCTCAGGTGTGATGGGCTGTTCGGCCCTAAAGAGCAGTTTTTGGGGACCACTTCCCTTTAGCTCAGATCACATTAGCACCGTTTGATTTGCAAACATGCAACCAATAAAGTGACAGAAGGATCAGCTTTTAGGTTTAAGTTAGCAGCGGGTCAGATTTTATGGATTTCTGTTTGTGCATTTCAGCAGATGAAAGGCAGATGATCGTTGACATAGGGAGCAGGGCTCTAGAGTCAGCACGCTGGGTAACCTTTGCTTTACTTTTTTCAGTATTGTCATTAATTGTAAACAGTCATAAAATGCTGAAAACCTTACCCTTACCCTTGTTCATGCTTACTTGTATATTTTCATCTTATTTGGGAGGACATTTTAAAAATAAAAAAAAATAATATATTGATGCTTTTAAAAATGCTAAGTTATTGAATACCTAAGGTAGTGAATGCTAAATTATTGAATTAAATGAGTATAAACTCCATAAATGTATAATTTTATGTTTGGGTTGAAAGAATTGGAATGAAGACATAAATACAGCTTCATTTTTGTTTTCTTAGTAAAATCACAGAAACTGCTTTATTTTTTTCCAGCCTTGTTTCTCACTATGGTGAACCAGGTGCAGCAAGTGGATGGCAGCTGGCAGTCGTGTCGAGGCGACTCCAGCGGCACCAGCAACAGCAGCACTGAGAGCTCCAAGGAGAGCTCCCGCTGCTCCACCCCGCTGCTGGACGCAGACCGCTCTGATCGGCTGCGGGAAAAGATGAGGAAGAGGATGGAGTCCGGAGATCAGTGGTTCTCCCTGGAGTTCTTCCCTCCACGCACGGCCAGCGGTGCTGTCAACTTGATCTCCAGGTACAGAGACCAGCCGGACCTCCTCCAGGCTTTCTGAGGGGCCTTCCGACCTTTGACCTCAGGCAGACACTTGTTTAATCAGTTGATTCAGTTCATGCATCTGGCCACGACAGAATATTCTGCTGAAAACTCAAGTAATTTGGAGACGTTTGGGAAGAACAAAATGGCATCCAGCTGACTGACAGCATCTGAAGTATTTGGCAGGACTTGAGAGTTGCTTAATTTTTCTGACAATAACCTGTTGTGTGCCAAGTTTTCTGCTTGTTGATATCATATTACGCCTCCTGCACACGCACGCACACACACACACACACACACACACACACACACACACACACACACACACACACACACACACACACACACACATGTTTGTCTGGCTATCTTTGTGGGGACTTTCCATTGACTTCAATTCATTTCTACAGCCTAAACCTTACCTTTACCCTTTTCCTAACCCTAACCAAAACTCAATTCATACCTTAGCCCTAAATCTGACCCCTGACCCAAAAACAGGGTTTCCCCTCGTGGGGACCAGGCTCCGGTCCCCACAAGGAGCAATTGGTCCCCACAACGTAGTATATGTCAGGAAAATCGTCCCCACAAGGTATTACAAACAAACGCACACACGCACGCACGCACGCACGCACACACACACATACAGAGCTCCAAACACAGCCACACACCAAACCTTTTGCACTGCGAAAAGAAACACAATCACTAAGAAACACAATCCAAAGCATTATACTAACTACACTGTTAAAAACTGTAAAATTGAATTAACATGAACAATAATTGAGTTAATTCATCCTGTTGAGGTCCAACTGTGTGAAACGGCTTCATATTTAAGTTTAAAATCTTCCATCTCTGTTAGGCTGGGATTAAGACAGTAGGTTTTGCACCTGACAGTTCTATATTTTTTTGTGTAACTTCAGCAGGTATTTTTTTTTTATGTATTTTTTTTCTTTACCATTATTGACGCTTTTGCAACTACATCACCTTCCCATGATGAGGCGTCATGACTGACATTGGAAGTGAGGGACGCAAGTATTGAGACACTAATTTCTTTTCCTAAGTTGTTTTTGCCAATATAGGCTTCTACTTGTTCAAGTGGAGCTAGCTTGTCTGCCTAGATGTTGCTCATAAACAGAAATATTTACTAAAATTGATAATGTATGGTATTGATTTTTGGAAGAGTTAAGTAGATTACATTTTTTTTGTTATTTGTTTCATATGTATGACAGGGCTTTCGTAAATGAGTTTCAGACATGAGGCCAGCAGCTGTCTGTCTCCATGACGGGTTTTACAGGAGTTAGCATGTGCAGGTTGTTTTGACATCCATCATGGTGAAGTGGGCCACTCTCAGAAGAGCGTGTGTGAAGGGTCAACTCCTGTCGCAGTGTGTTTGTGGGAGTATTTGTGAGTCAGAGACTGCTGCTGGATGAGAACATCCCAGGGGTATTCAGTCCAACTTACACAGACCAGTCAAACTGTGTCACATTAAACTCACTTGTCCATTTCTAATGGACCACTCTTTTTGAACACATGCACAGTCGTGTTAAACAGTTAGGGGCGTCTCTAGACTCTTTACCACTTTGGGAACATGAAAATTTCAGAATTTCTTGTCATACTGAAGTATTAAGATTTCCTTAAAAGCTACAAACACGGCTCACCAACACACCACACCTCCCCTCCCCAGATCACCTTCAACACTTCAAAATATTTCAGCAAAATCTCAGATGAAAACATTTCAGAACTTTATTTTTTTAAAGTGTATTTCTGATGCGACAGGTTTGACCGTATGGGTTCTGGAGGACCGCTCTTCATTGATATCACCTGGCACCCAGCAGGAGACCCTGGCTCAGACAAGGAGACCTCCTCTATGATGATTGCCAGCACAGCAGTGAACTACTGTGGCCTGGAGAGCGTCCTCCACCTGACCTGCTGCAACCAGACCAAGGAGAAGATCACCAGCTACCTGGCTAAGGCGAAGCACCTGGGCCTGAAGAACATCATGGCGCTGAGGGGAGGTACAGCGGGAGACACGAAGAGCTCAGGAAAAGTGTGACCTGGGAGGTTTTGCTTGGATGTGTGTTTTATCGCCACGCCTCAGTAGATAAGAGCTGCATCAGTGTTTGTGGGTTGAGATTCCTGGAAAACAAAGAGCAGCGCTTGATTTAGACTTCTGAGAAGTGATGTGTCTGGACAAGCGTTGCGCTGCTGTGAACGGCTCCAGCTGGAACTACACCGCAGCGTTTCCTCAAGCATTCCCAGGGTTCTAGTCTTCCACCTTATGATCTCCTGTTACCTGACAGAGTCTCTGCTAGTTGAGTTTTCAACAGAAATTTCTCATTCTTAAAAAGTGTGCAGTGTACATCGAGCCTAGATTTAGAGTGGCAGAAACTGACAGAAGACTTTCTGCAAACGGGTGTCTGAACATCTTGACTGAACACACGTGTTCAGCTTGGCTTTATCTGACAAAAACATAATTTATTTACAGGAAAGGAATGATCAGGGTTTTATTACTGTTTCCCTTCATAAAAGTATAGCTCTTAAATAAAAAAAACATAACGTATAACTTTTGTCAAACAATATTTAAAACTAACCTTTAGACCGGGCTCTGCAGCTTTTACGATTTATTTCTGTCCAGCTGAATGAAAATCATTTAGAGCCACTGATGTTGCATTATCTTTTTGAAAAAGAATAAGTATAATTTAGGAAATTTGTTCCCCTTTTCAGTCTGTTTCTTTATTCTTCGGTTTCAATTTCCTCAGGCATTTGAGGACCAGGAGGCTGGTTCATATGATTATATAGCCTGTCTCTGCCCCCAATTAGATAATTAACACATTATATTATTAGTTCAGATGGTTACTGATGAGAGGAGTGTCATTGTTAACATTTTATTGCTATTTTTAGGCCTTTTATGCCATATTTTCTTCTCTGGGATGTGTTGATATTTGTGTAAAATTATGTCCAAAAAAAGTCAAAGTTCCTAATCATTTATAAAATCATCTCCAGAAAGATGTTTCCCTGCTGCATGAAGCTGTTGGTACCCTTTGGTTTTATTATCTGCTGCAACTTGGGTGAAGGTGCAGTCATTAAATAATGTTTTATTTTCAGCTAACTATATTGACACTGTACTGCTAAAAAACAGTAACCATTTCATACCATCTGTAAAGTTAACTGCTGAACGAACACCTGTAGTGTTGTAAAAATCCTCGTTTTGCCAGATCACCCAACATGGCCGCCATTAAACAAAGCTCTGGTTCTCTTCAGATCCAGTGGGAGACGACTGGGAGGACGAGGAGGGAGGCTTCAACTTTGCCGTTGACCTCGTAAAGCACATTCGATCAGAGTTTGACGACTACTTTGACATTTGTGTTGCTGGTGAGTTTTCACAGTAGAGAGAGTGAAACACACTTCAAGTATTGTGAATTCTAGCAGGTTTATGTACCCAGGGTGTTTCTAAACGGAGTGTTTATCTGTCAGAACAACCAGACTCAGCTGTGATCAGCTTGATTTCAGGACTGACCTGCTGCAGGGTTCAGAGCTGTGGTTCATGTAGTTCATGTTTTATATGCTCATAAATATCGACAGAGGCTCTTTCGCATGTTAAGCGGTCCTAAAAGAAAGGTGGCTTGTTGTGTGGAAATCAGAAAAGAAGCCCTGAATTCCTCCCTCAACACTTCATACATGTTCAGTACATGAAGATCTGCTTTTTATATGCTCTTTATATGTTATTTATTTTATATGTTTAACCTACTCTAATCAATGTGACTAATCTGTGCTTCCAGTCGTTTTAATTAGAGGTTTCTGTGCAGGCTACCCAACGGGCCACCCTGAGGCAGGAAGCTACGAGCAGGATCTGCAGCACCTGAAGGAGAAAGTGGATGCTGGTGCAGACTTCGTCATCACGCAGCTGTTCTTCCGCGCTGACACCTTCCTGAAGTTCCTGGATGACTGCAGGGCAGTCGGGATCACATGTCCCATCCTTCCTGGAATCTTTCCCATCCAGGTACTAGAGACTTCTTCCAGGAATCTGTAAATCATCACCATGAACCCATTGACCCATTGAGGCTATTTTTTTCAGCTGCTACACGTTTCACTTCCACAGTGAAGTCACCTGTTCATCAAGTTCAACGGTGCATGAAAATCTTTGGCCGTTGTGCATAACAAGCGGCGCAGAAAGCTTCCTGTTTGACTTTTACAACCAAAGTTATAATGTTGATTTATGAAATCCATCTGTTTTTAAGATTAGTTTTATGATTTAGCATCAAATCGCAAGTTAACAGAGGATCAAAGTTGGTTTTATCTCAACAAATGCTACTGCTGGGTGATAAATTGTCCCAAACTTTGTTGTGATAAACTGTATTATTATTATTGTTGTTGTTTTGAAACCATTTTCAAGTAATAAAATGGTAATAATGGCATAATAATGCAGGTTCACTCTCTCAAAGATCAATACACTATAAATTCTAATGAACATTTAACACTGGAACAGGAAGACATTTTAAATATCCAAAATAAATAAAGCAACAGAAACGACAAATAAAATGAATCATGAAGTCCCTGCTAGTTAAAATAGAATATACTTTATTATCCTCTAGTTGACACCAATGCATCAGACAGAAGACTTTTGTCATGTGGTAGGAAAGAGAGAAAAGAGAAAAACAAATTATGTGTATTTTCCAGGGATACCAGTCGTTACGTCAGCTCGTCAAGCTGTCTAAGCTCGAAGTACCAGAGGAGATCACTAAAATCATTGAGCCCATCAAAGACAATGATGCTGCTATCCGAAACTATGGAATCCACCAGGCAGTGGACATGTGTCGTGTCCTGCTGGACAGCGGAAAGGTGCCAGGCCTCCACTTTTACACTCTGAACCGAGAAGTTGCCACCATGGAGGTCCTCCGACAGCTGGGCCTGTGGGTAGAAGACCCCAGGTCAGTCTAAATCTACTGGCGTCTGAGTAAAAGATGAAACTGTACCCCTAACTCTGGGTCCTGAACCTGTATCGTTTTCCTTTGTACACTCTCTTATCTCGTGTTTGGCAAATATTATTCTATCGCCGTTAACTGTGGAGCACTTAGAAAAACAATTGAGGACTCTTTGGCCTCTAGCAGCAGCTGTTTGGAGGGCTGCCGGTCCCTCTCTCTACATACACTTGTGTGTGTGTGTGTGTGTGTGTGTGTGTGTGTGTGTGTGTGTGTGTGTGTGCACGCCGTATACAGAATTAAGAACTTACTGTCGACCAGCTTGACGTTTACTTGGAAAAATGACGTGTGAACGTCTCTGCTGAGTTTCCAAACTGGGTTCATTTTCCTTGGTAGAAAATGAACATTCTTTTTTGATAAGTTCAAGGTTTCCCCCAGAAAACTTGCTAAGCCTGGTGGGGGCACAAGTGAAGCCTGGTGGCCTGCCAGGCTCATAATACACTGGGGGAAACCCTGAAGTTGAAATTCTTTCAGGTAGAGTAGAGTTCCAATTACTCTTAGTCTTTATTAAGACTAAGATGCACTGAGACCTAGTTGTAGCAGATCCTTTGTGTTTATTTATTTCTTGCAAACTTTCTCCAAGCGTCTGGCTATGAAGGCAGATTTTCTGTGGTCTGCAAACTCACAGATTGTTGTTTTCGCCAGACGCCCTCTTCCCTGGGCCGTTAGTGCAAATCCCAAACGGAAGGTGGAGGATGTCCGACCAATTTTCTGGGCCTCCAGACCAAAGAGCTACATCTACAGGACCCAGGACTGGGATGAGTTCCCCAACGGCAGATGGTAGGTCTAATCGGACATAGATTCAGTATTACCTCATTCTTTGATTTTCTAAGTAAATGTTCCAGTTTTAGTGACAACTTGAAGTATTGAGCTTACAGCAGAAGAGGGGAAAGTGAAGCTGTATTTTAGTTACTGACCGACTGTTCTGCTGTTGTCTTTAGGGGAAACTCTTCATCTCCAGCTTTTGGAGAATTAAATGACTACTACCTGTTTTACTTAAAAAGTAAATCCTCTAAGGAAGCTCTTGTGCAGATGTGGGGGGAGGAACTGAAGAACGAACAAAGCGTCTTTGAAGTCTTCACATGCTACATCACAGCACAACCAAACCGAAACGGACAGAAGGTAATCAAGTCTGCCTGCAGGCTCTGGCCATGTGAATGATCTACTGTTTAAATACAAATTAATAAAGTCATGAAAAAGTGAAAGTAAATGTATTAATTAAAAAAATGCTGAAATAGTTTGAAGATGAATTGATAGTCTTAAAGAAATCTGCAGATTTGTGACCAACAGTAGGAACAGAACTTCCTTCAGTCGAAGTATTTTGGCAGATTCCAGCCTGTACTGTTGGCAGGGCCGGCTCAAGGCATAAGCAAACCAAGCAGCAGCTTTGGGCCAGTAGGAGGCCCCCTAAGTGGAACAGATTTTTTTTTATTAACAAAACACACTTTCATTGTAAAGTTGTGATTTTTTTTTTTTTTACAATAATGTACTTGATCATGTAAACATGATCATGTATGTATGTATGCATGCCTGTTTGTATAAAAACAAAAACAAACAATGCTTAGCCTGACAGGAGGCAAGTAAAGCCTGGCGACCCGCCAGGCTTACGATGCAAACTTGCAGTATAGTTTGCTAAGGCCCTCATGTCTCTCTCTCCATCCCCAGGTGTTGTGCTTACCCTGGAACGACGAGCCTTTGGCCCCAGAGACCAACTTTTTGAAAGACGAGCTTGAGAAGGTTAACAGACGTGGAGTCCTCACCATCAACTCTCAGCCCAACATCAATGGCAAACCATCTGCGGACCCTGTGGTAGGCTGGGGGCCTCCAGGAGGATATGTCTTCCAGAAGGTGCTGACTCTCTCTGTCTGGTCATTCTCTACAAACACGTTTTACTCTGAAACGTCGCCTCAGCTTTCCGCTCTTCCGTCCAACAGGCCTACCTGGAGTTTTTCACCTCCAGTGAAAATGTCACAGCCCTCCTGAAGGTCCTGAAGAAGTATGAGCCTCGTGTCAACTATCACATTGTTAACGTGCATGTAAGTGTGAACTGAGAGTCCCGCTAGTCACTGTGTGAGTGCAGGTTGTATATGGGCCATGTTGGGTGTTTTGTGTGCAGGGACATAACATGACCAACGCACACGAAATGCAGCCTAATGCCGTGACGTGGGGCATCTTCCCCGGCAGAGAGATTGTCCAGCCCACTGTAGTGGACCCGGTCAGCTTCATGTACTGGAAGGTACGCTACCAAGTCTGTAGCTTCAGGAGCCTTTTGTGATGTTATCAACCTCGTCATTTCACATGTGGACTCATGGAGTCCACATGTGAAGAGTTTGTCAGGAACTGCATCTCTTTGACTAAATCAACATCATTTAATGCAGATGTACCGGGAAGGTTACGAGGTTTAAACATGTTTGATTGGAAAACATTTAGCGTGGATTTTCAATTTTTACTAGTCATCACAGCTTTTCCGCAAATCTGACCAACCATCCTATTGCTTTCCCCATTTCCTTGTTTTCCCACCAATCACTGCAACTTTGCTGAATTTTGACCAATCGTTTTAGTCCTCTTCTAATTTAACTTCCTGTTTTACAATGCAGTCAAACCTGCAGGATGAAACCATGTGTGATCCAAAACAGTATCATTGACCTTGTTTGTTTTCTTTTTTTGTTGCAAAAACCATTTTGAGATGATCTGTAGGATTTGCTTCTTCTGCATAAACAGTTCATGTTACACAAAACTGAAATTCATCTTTTGCACTTTGACAATTCCTCAGGACATGATTTAATTTCTATTAAGGGTTATATTTCAAGAAGACACTTGAACATGTTATTTGCACTTCAAATATTAACTATGTTAAAAATTCTGTATTTTTTGAGAAGGTTATGTGCATCAATTACAACTAATTAAACCATATTGTGGTAAAAATAAAGATTAAAAAATGTAGCAAGATGGGGTGCGGTAAAATCAGTAACTGGATGTTCAACATATCAAAAAAATCTGAATTATGCCACAAATGGTAAATAATCAAAATTAAACATTTTCTTGCCTGATCAAATGAAATAAAAACAATAATGTTGTATTATCAACTGGTAAAAACAATTTTTCCACTAGCTGCAATATAATTTAATCATAGTAGTCCAATATAACAGTGCAGCTTTAGAGATAAAAATAAATTTTTGATCTTAATTAGAGGCAATGGAGATATTTTTTCCGATCCTCTGAAAATGCATTGGCCTTTTTTTTTTTTTTTTGACTTGTTCATATTTATATTGTGTGTCATCAAGCTAATCAGGCATTTTATTTTTGTCAGACTTATTAAAATTTGATGTCATTCACACTTATAAAAAACAAAAACATCTTATTTCAGAAATAAATGTCTCCCTTTTCCCCCACAATTATCGGATAAATTGACTAAACTCATCACAGTGCTGAAAAAGCTTCAGGACGCCTAAACATGACAGACTTTGACTGACCCAGGTTGTCATTGCTGCGTTTCAGGACGAGGCGTTTGCTTTGTGGATCGAACAGTGGGCCAAACTCTACGAAGACGAGTCGCCGTCACGGATGATCATCAAGTACATCCATGATAACTACTTCCTGGTCAATCTGGTGGACAATGACTTTCCTCTGGAGAGCTGTCTGTGGCACGTCATCGACGACATGTTCGAGTTGCTGGACTCAACGCCGGAACCGCTCACCGACGAAGCCGGCTCACAGTAAACTACGGCACTTCTAATGATTTTGTTGAGGAAAGAGACAATTCAGTGAATTATTTCATGTTCTACTTTTACTTTTACCAAGAAGAGTGCCTTGATAAAATACTGATGTAAACACCAAAGCTTTTCTAGCTGGTGCTTAGTGAAAGGGAAAATGGTGCTAAGAAAGAAACTGAACTGTTTCAGCTTCATAGAAAATGCAGCACAGTTTATATTTCACCACAGATGTGAAATATGAAGTCCATAAAATGAATAAAAGACTAATTCAGCCTCCTCCTGGAGGGCGTCGCTGCTGAGGAGAAACTAATGAGGAAGTAAACAAAATATATAACGTAAAAATAAATGTGGGAATAAAAACAAGAAATCTTGTTAAATTAATTTTCATTTGTAGAATTATTTTAACTGTATTTTATTTTTATTTTTATGAAATATTTGTATTGTCATTTGAATTACAATTCATTTAAGTAAGCTCAATGTATATCTGGTTTCTATATGATAAATATCATATATTCAAATTAATCCAACCCAAAGAGTCTGTCATGCAGATTGGATTGAGCTTTGCAGCAATCTTCTGAACAGCCTTTGCTTTTTTTTATATAGCCATTTGTTTTTGCTGGTGGTTATTGATTGTCTATTACTATTGGATACTTTAAGTAGGACAGAATAATTATAATTTGAATTTACCTCATCTTTTGCCAGCTCAAAGCTAACTGGCCAAAGGGTCTAAACAAAACAAGCATTAATGAAAATGTTTTTTTTTTTTTAATAAATATATATAATTCTGTAATAAATCAATTCTTTCTTTATTGTATTAACATGAAAATTGTGTTAACATGATTAGGCTGTTATGCCATAATCTGTCAGTTTCCCTGAGAGATTTGCGGTCATATTTCTCTGTACACAAGCTGACAACAATGTCATGAAAATTTACTAATTACTAATTTGTTCCAATTAGCAATATCGCTTTTCAAGAAAATAAAATGATTGGTTATCATGTTACTTGAGACTTTACACATTTCATTTTCTTACCACAGGTAGCAGGCATTCACTTCAAATAGTTTGGGAAAAGCTGCTCAGTTTGTGAAAGTCAATTTTTTTTTGTAACATTCAACTGAATAAAGAAAATTTTTAACTTGTTTCCATGTCTTTAGTTAAAACTCTATCAGAAATGCCAGATAGCATTTCAGAAAAACTACTTTGAAACGACTTCAACGCACATTTGTGCAATGTTGCCTCCCAGATTTCATAGAGTCTCCTGTGTGAAAAGACTTTTTTTTCTTTGCTCTCACAACAAACGCCTATGTAATCAGTAGAAGTCTGTGCATCAATCAGATCTATGTTGCAATATTGATAGGCTGCTGAAGGATTTAAGTTATCAGCCATGAAGGTCCAAAGTCCAGGTCATAACATTGCATGGTATGGTAGGGATTTTCCACTCAGAGTCCCTAACTTGGTCATTAGCTGGTCAGGCCAAATATGTCCACACAGATGAATGGCGTGAGGGGGTGGAAATAAGTCAAACATCGTGTGAGCTGGACGCCCTCAACTTGACCTGAGGCCCTGAGTTAATGGAGTGACTATAAATTTAGAGTGACTCAAAAGAACGTGCACACTTTAGACTTTAACATCAGGGGGAAAAAAAATAATTCTCAGTAGGTCTTACAGCCACACAGGAGCAGAAACAGACTGCCATTCTTCACCGAGCAAAAAAAACAGAACAGGAATAACTTGAAGCAGCTGCTTTCTATGTGATTTTAGTCAGTCGCATCACTGCGGAAGACTTTTGGGCATTTTTGGTATAAGTAGAATCAAGTCTGAAGTATTTTGTGATTTTTATAAAGTCCAAATCACATGACTCTGGTCCACACGTGGTGACAGGGCAGAGTTTCATCACGTTAAGAGGTCTGCTTGGGAGGTGTGGGGATTTGAGTGAGGAAAACAGGAAATAAGGGCCACTAAAAAACAGAATTCTGACTTTAATCTCTTTTTTAATCACTTTTTTTTCTTAGAATTAGAAGTGTTTCAATTGTTTATGCAGTTTATGCACAAATCAGGAAAATCTAGTATTAAAACTCAAATCGACCAAATAAATTTGGGACAGACTTTCAGTGTGGATAAAGTGCCGGTTTACAAATCCTATGACAAGGAAGTTATGATTATTTTCACATACTTTCAACACAACTGACATACACCAATGTCTAGATTGTTCATTTGGATTTTGACATAGCTTAATAGAATCAGAACTCCTAGTTTGTGCCGGAGGTAGGAAGAGGTCGCCAACTTTCTGCAGAGTCAATAACTACAGCCCTCCAACCTTTATGTGGCCTTCAGATTAGCTGAAGAACAGGGAGCTTCATGGTTTCTATGGTGGAGCTGCTGCATCCAAAGCATCATTACAAGGCATCAGATGCAGTGGTCCAGTAGTACGCTGCTACTGGACTCTGGAGCTGTGGAGCCGCCTTCTATGGAATGATGAATCTTGCTTCTCCATCTGGCAATCTGATGGACAAGTCTGGGTTTGGCGATTGCCAGGTGAACTGTACTTGTCTGACTGCACTGTGCCAAGTGTTACATTTAGTGGAGGGGAGATTTTGGTGTGTGGTTGTTTTTCAGGAGCTGGGCTTGGCCTTTTAGTTCCAGTGAAAGGAACTCTGAATGCTTCAGCACACCAAGACATTTTAGGCAATTCCATGTTCCCAACTTTGTGGGAACAGTTTGGAGCTGGGCCCTTCTTCTTCCAACATGACTGAGCACCAGTGCAGAAAGCAAGGTCCATAAAGACACGGATGGTAGAGCCTGGTGTGGACAGAGTCCTGACCTCAACCCGATAGAACACCTTTGGGATGAATTAGAGACAACTGGAGAGAGGCACTAACACCCCTCCTGACCCCAGTGTGATGAAGGTGTAAAAAAATGGATGGATGGATTAGGAATGGGATTTCACTTAAGCTCATATGTGAGTCAAGGCAGGTACTTTTGCCAATATAGTTTATGTAGAAACGAGCTGCTGCTCAGGGTGTCTGCAGAGAGCGAACAGCACCATCTGGTGGTCGCTTGATATCAGCATTTGAACATGAAAATCACCAATCTCTTTTCCACAGACAGGACAGCAAAAAGCCACTTTTGTCTACAAATTTGGAGATAAAATATAAATACAAAATAATATATAAAGAAAACCACATTCAGGCATCTGTTTAAGTGTACCAGTCACATTAAACTGTATGACGTTAATTTAAATATTTTGCGATGCCTACGTAAATGAATACAATGTTTTCAGGGTTTTTTTTTATTTTCTGGTACACACTGAGACATTTTAAACTAGCAAAATACAACTATTAGACACAATATAAAGTTGATTTAAGTTCTGAGTACCAAAACATATGACTACCTGTGATGATAAAAATAGAATAAGTACAGTATGCATAGAAAAGTTCTTGCACTGCAGGAGACAGTAAAATGTTAAAATTAATTAAACATACACACATTTCACACACTTGACCTATCAGACATTGTATCTTATTACACACAGTTTAACAGTGAACCAGTTGGTTAAAGCAGAACACAATACAAAACCCGAAATGACAAATTCAATAATTAACTTCTGTAAATGCTATAAATGAAGATAGAGCAAAAACAAACTTGAGACTGATGCAAGAAGTCAGCCATGGCAAACTGCAAATTCAATTTACTCTTTCTGATTGACCAAAAGTCTTAGCTGTTGGAGAGTCTGCATTATTTTCACTTTTATGGCAGATTCATAAAATAAACATAATATAAATCTATAAATATCCATGTGAATATTAAACCAGCAGTGTTACATTGAGCCGTTGAACATGAGTGTGACTTGTTGCAGATGCGTGCTGACAGCGTCTACAGGTCAGGGTCATCCCCCTTGAGCGTGTTGAATTCTTCTGGAGCTGAATACTTCTCAGCCCCCTGACCAGAGGAGTGGCGGAAACCTGCTGCGATCTCATCAAAGGTGCGACCTTTTGTCTCGGGTACTTTGAAGTAAGTGAAGACAAAGAAGCCGAGCAGCAGAACGGTGAAGATGATGAAGACATAGGGACCGAGGAGTTGCTGCGACAACAAGAGTTTAATGTGTCATGACCAGGCCATGTAAATGGTGGATGCAACATTACAGCTTGTTAAGTCGCATTAAGTTTTTATTTAGTGTCAATTTAATTCATTATACTCTTATTGATGGGGCAAGAAAATCATCAGACTTCTATGAACAGAGTCCAAGTTACTGCTTAGTTCTTTTTATCACATAGATTTTATGTCCATCCTTTGAAAATTTATAATAAAAAGAAATTAGTTATTAATATTCCATAACATAAGGTCAAGATTTTGATATATTTTCAAATATATTTTGCGCAATAATTGCCTAAATCTCACTTTCTGGCTCTTATTAAGGGGGCAGAAATTTGAGTCAAGTAAAAAAGAACAATGTCTTTTCCAGCTTTATTGCTGGTGAGGAACAAGAATACCGTAACAGGAAAGTCCTCCATGCTGCAGGTCACTTCCTGTTTTTGTGGACGGTTTGTGTTTCTGGGAGTTTTCTCCCCCAGAATAGTTGGTGGTGTCTGATTTTAGAGATTAATGTTTGAGTTACGATCTACAAACTGTTAGAAATAATAAGATAAGAAAAAGATGAAAATGGAAATTTCATCCATTCATTTTCTGCTGCTGCTCTGGGGTTGGGTTATGGACAGAGCAGCCTAAGTAGAGAGGCCTAGATTTCCCTCTCACCGGCTTCTTGGATCAGTTCCTCTGGGGGAATCTCAGGGTGTTCCCAAGCAAACTGAGAAACACGGTTCCTCCAGCGTGTCCTGGGTCTTCCTCTGGGTCTCCTCCCAGTGGGAAGTGCCTCACCAGGGAGGCATCAAGGAGGCGTCCTCTTGCTGAGGTGAGGAGGCCACATCCACTGGCTCCTCTTGATGTGGAGAAGCAGTGGCTGTACTCTGAGTTTCTCCCGAATGACCGGATTTCTCACCCTATCTCTACGGAGAAAACTCATTTTGGCCGTTTGTATCCATGACCTCGTACTTTCAGTCATCACTCAAAGCTCATGACCATAGAAATGAAATGGAAATTCGGTTTACATAACCTGTCAGATGCCTCCCATATCTCAACATCACAAACATTCATCATAATAATTTAAAAACTAGGCTAAAATAAAATCAGTTTGATGGAATATGGCACAACTACTTATTCAGTGTAATCTTTCTGAAGTAGATGCCACAGTTGCGTTCATATTTGGAAAACGAAGAAAAACAGTTTATCTGCATTCTGATTAAAATTGAACCCTTTCTCACCTCAACATACTGGAAGCTCATTCCCACTATGAAGTTGGCAGACCAGTTGCAGAAACCAGCAACTGCAATGGCGGCAGGCCGGGGCCCCTGGCTGAAGAGTTCAGCTACGATGAACCACGGGATGGGGCCGGGGCCGATTTCAAAAAAGGCTACGAAGCTGAAGATGGCCACGATGCTGATATAGGACATCCAACTGAGCTGGTCCTGAGCAGCAAAACAGGATGAGGTACATTCATTTTGTACAATAAAAAGTCTCAGATGAATACAGCATCAAAGGTCAGGAACACCTACCAGCAGAGCCATGGCAACAGTTAAAAACACAGCAGACACCGCCATCCCCATCAACCCAATGAGATGAAGAGGTCGTCGGCCCACATGCTCCACCACAAACACCTGCAGCAAAGAGACAAAATGCAGCACTGCAAAGTCTCTCAGAGTCTTTACATCTCCTGCCCCGATGCTCTTTAGCAACTTACAGAAACGACAGTAAAGGCGGTGTTGACCAACCCAGCACCAATGGTGGCATACACAGGCTGTGAAACTCCTGCTCGCTCAAAGATCCCAGTAGAGTAGTAAAATACCTGCCAAGGGTGAGAATAATCAGAAACATAGTGATACATTTTGGTTCTCCAAACACAGCTGTTCTAAAGTCACTGAGACCAGGACAGTCTAATTTGATTTGTAAGATTTGGATCAAATCAGATCGTGATTTTGCTACAAAATGGCACCATGTGCCTAGAAAATACATAATACCGCCTCTTCAAGAGTCTTTGGTGGTCATGTCACCACTATACAGTTTGGTTCACTTGTAATCTCGGTGGCATTGAAGGTTGAAGAGATTGATGATAAAAACGTTCTCTTCCCTACTTACAGCGTTGATTCCAGACAGCTGCTGCGACAGCTGTAGCATGATGGCAACCAAGATGGGCTGGCGGTAGATGGGAGAGCGAAACAGCTCAGGAATGGTCACTTTCTTCTCCCTCATCATCTTCTGGCTCTCCTCCCTCATCTCCTGTATGTCCTCACTCACCTCGTCGGTGCCCCGCAGCTTCATTAGGACTGGAGAAACACAACAATACCCTCAGCCTGTTTGGAAAACCTGACACAGATAACACAGACCTCATTTTGTGTTAATAAACCAGATTTGGTTGTAAGTAAAATTTTCTTATTGGTTTTAACTTTGTGTCTAAAATCAAGTGAATTATTTAAAGAGTATTTTAACTGTTCAGAGACACACTACAATCTTATTCAATCAATCAATCAATCAATCAATCAATCAATCAATCAATCCTCCTCCGTCTCCACAGTTTCTTCCCTTCAGCAGTCAGACTCATGAACTCAGGCTGCACCAAATACAGCTACATCTCATAAATTATTTAAACACATATCTATATACATATATTGTGTGTAGTAAATTTTGTGATCTGGGACCTGAGTCCAAATTTCATACCACAAACAACAAAGGTGGTATGTTAATAAAAAAAATCCTTGAATTATTTAGAGAGTATTTTACTGTTCAGAGACAATCACAGTTAAGAATCAGTGTTAAGATATGACTTAGTAGTTTACTTAGCTTATCATTATAAAACATGTTACTATAATAATTTATAGTTATTAGGTTGGATGGTAGTGAAAGTGAAGACTAGTTTTATTTGTCTGGTTTTATGTAACATCACTGAAGAAAAGTAATTCATTCTGTTTCAGGACTCCGTATACATACAGATGAATATGTGTAGATCTTACCGCTGCAGGCTTTGCTCTCTTCATTGCAGTTAATGAGGAGGTAGCGGGGGCTCTCTGGACAGAACGGCAGCAGAACACACTGCAGCAAGGCTGGCAGCAGAGTGAACCCCATCAGCAGCGGCCACAGGGACGCATTCCCCAAAATGGATTCAATCCCAAAGACCTGCAGCACAACACAGACCTTATGAGAACTGAAGTAAAAACAGAGCAATTATAAAATGGTCAAGGGTTTTCAGATTACACTAAAGACAGTTCATTTCATTCATTCATTAAGAAAACTTGAACAAACCAGCAGCAAAAAAATAAATACAGGTTTTTTTTTTTTTTTTTTTTTTTTTACAAATAAAGATGAGTTATTTTTTTTTTTTTTTTAAGGTTTTTCAAAAACTTTCCTGCGTTCTTATGATAT